GACTCTGTAAACCGCTTAGAGAGGGCTGAAAGCCCTATGAAGCGGTATATAAGTAACTGCTATTGCTATTGCTATTGCTACTTTCACTCTAGAATGTCTTCTGCTTTGCCCTCTGAGCCTGTCATCATCCATTCAAGAGCAAACAAGCCCCCAAAGTGTTCAGAGCTCCAGATTCGCTTCAGATGTTCTCATCTCTTGCTTAGCAGGCTTTCTTCTACAAGTCCAGACTGGAGCTGCATACGGTTATTGGCAGAACCACCAAAGACCACGGACTTAAATTTGCATCACCTGCTCAGCTTGTGGGATTTGATCCATTTGGTCCCTTTCCTGTTTAAGCTTCATATAAAGTGTCCATTCAGTCATTAAGTGAGGAGGCATGTGGTGGTGGTGGTGGTGTGGTACACAGACAGTCCATGGTTACTCCCTCCAGCAAAAGAAGTGCGGGCAAAACGTCCGGTGAATTCCCTGGTAGAGCCCAAGTGCTGGGAATCCTGGGAGGCTCTCAAGAGCTCAGCCTCAGGACAACAAAACAGTTATGAGGCCTTCTCTGTATTTTCCATGCATAGGTTTTATTTTACTTAGAATCTATCAACAGAAACACAGTCAAAATGTTGATCGATAAAGCAGATTTCACATCTTTAAAATGCTATTTTAAAAAGTGTCTCAGGAAAGACTGGGACTGGGGAAAAACTTCCATGCTGAAAAGCAGCTTAGGGCCATTTTTGTTCCCTTTCTTCCTCTTCTTCATCTCAAGGACCCCCTTTTCAGAGTGGGGGGGATTGTAACTTGACCACCTGCAGCCACATTTGAAGACATCACTTTTTGAGAAAGGCACCTTTGTTTGGAGGCCAAGTGAGGCCCCTGAGGAGATGCAGAGAAATCCTCTCACCAGTGAACTGGCGCAGCCTTAGAGACCCAAACTGCACTTGTAAATATGCAGCCTGGGCCAAAATTGACCCAGCGTAGCCAGACTCGCAAGGCTGCGGTCAGGCTTCCCAATTACAGCTCATATTGGACAGCAAAAAACCTGGGCCAGCTCACTGGACCTCTTTTTTAGCTTGACCTGTTCTGAGTGATCCAGGGCAGGAAATGCACTGCACCCCGCAGTTCCTCCCACTTTGGTGGTGCATCAGGGAAGCCTAGGCCAGAATTTGTTTGTTTTTCACATTTCTGGACCACCCGCCTCCCTCAGAGTGATCCCAGGATGGTCTTGGCATCCAGCAGAGAACAGCTGGCCAACCCGGGATGAACAGCTGGCCTCTTTCTCTCCTGTGACAGCCCTTCTGAAGGACCAGTCACCCTGCTTTGCCTGGTGGAGTGAGTGCCTCATGCGCCCAACACTACCCCCCCCCAAAAGCCTTGTAATTCTCTTCTTGCCCTCCCCCAGGACTTCCGGGATAGAGCACCACTGCTGGACCTGTGTTTTCCAGAACTCATGAACTATGCTGGATGGAGAGTGAAGAAGTTGGGAAGTCTCAAGGAAGACAGTTTTGGGGCAGGGAAGAGTCGAATTTTAAACCTTAAGCAAAGGTGCCCGTGAAATAAATACATAGCACCAATTCCTGGAGCAAACAATTGACCAAAATCTCCCCAGCCTGATCTTGCTCTGTGGCTGTACTTTCTAGGCTCAAAATCTGGGGTGGGATCAGTTATTTCCCAAGCCTGCCACCTCCCAAGGCTCACCGGATCAAGGCTACCCTACCCTGGGAAGCCAACACCCACCTGTGAGCCTTTGGTGAGGCTGTTAGATTAGAGTAATAAATGAAATGATTGAAATAAATTCTGGCACAAACTGGATTCCACCCAATGAAGCCTGTGCTGCCCTTTCTGAACCTGAACCAAGGGGCCGATCAAGAGCTCCGCAGCCCCATCCTGCGCTGTGCCGACTGAGCGGGACGAGGGCAGATTTGAACAACATCCTGAGCTGAGGCCCCCTTGCTTCAGGGACGGGCAAGGCCTCGGGGCCCTCGCAGCCTTAAGGCACCGGCGACTGAAACCAAGGGGCTCTGCGGCAGCCCCCCCAGTGCGCCCCGCGGGGTCTCTGCACCCGGCAGCACGCCTCGCTGGAGGCCACAGCCCCAAAGCCAAGGCGATAAATGTCGCGGGAGGGCTCGGCGGAGCCCTTCGCCGGCGCAGGGGCAGAAACGGGGCAAGGCAGCTAGCTTCTCTCGGCCTGGCCACCGGGCAGAATCAGGGCAGCGGCGCCGGGCAGAGGAGGCAGGAGATGCCCTGCGGCGAAGGCTACACTGTAGCCTCACCAGCAAAAGGCCCGGCAGGCGAGCGCGGGACGCGTCTCCGAGCCGGGGGAAGCCGCCCCCAAGAGGCGGCGTCGGGGGCTGGGAGGTGCCGAACATCCCCGCTCCCTGCTGCACCTGTGAAGGGGGGGCGGGCTGCGGCGAGCCGGTCCCCCTTGGTCGGGGCGGCGGGAGAAGAAGGCCCCTTCCGCTGGAGAGCCGCCCCGAGGCCGAGCGCAGGGTGTCCCGGCTCCTTCGGGCAATCGGCCGCCCCCCGCCTACGAGGGGTTCCGTAGCGGGCAGGGTTCTCCGCGAAGGCTGCCCCGCCCCAAGGACCGGCGCCTGCCCGCAAGCTGAGAGCCGGGCCGCCCCTCCGCCTCGCCTTCTGCACGTCCTCAGAGGCTGCCCGCCACTCACCTTCATGTCGTTGACGATGGCCTGGAAAAGGCCGCCCAGCGCCCCGCACTCCTTCTCCGCTGCCTCCATGCCCGCCCGCTCCGTTCCCTTCCGCTGCACTGCTGCGACGCGCCGGGCGAGGCTCTGCGGCGGCGGCGGCGCGCCCGCTCGGTCACTTCCCGGCCGGGGCGGCTGGCGGCGGGGCCGGCGAGGCGCG